TTAAGTTTTCTAAATTATTGGCACAAAGATGTTCATAATAGTTCCTTATCAACTTAATTACTGTGAGATCCTTTACTGGTGTTCCCTTTTGGTAATCTGTGACTTCTCTCTCTTTTTTTGGTGGTCAGTCTAACTAAAGGTATATCAGTTTTGTGGTCTTTTCAAATAACCAACTTTTGCTTTCTCTGAATTTTCTGTATTTTAAAAAATATCATTGATACCTACTCTAATTTTTATTATTTCATTCCTTTGTTTTGCTTGGATTTAGTTTTCTCTTCTTTTTTTCCTTTTTAATGTGGAAGCTTAGGTTATTAATTTGAGATCTTTGTTCATTTCTAATATAGGAGCCCAAGTCTATAAATTTCCCCCTGAAGCATTGCTTAAGCTGCATCCCATATCTTTTTATGTATTTTATTTTCATTTTTATTCCATTCTATTTTTTTTATTTCCTTGTGATTTCTTCTTTGACCAGTGGATTATTTGTTAAATTTTCAAATATTTAGGGATTTTCTCAATTTTTGTTGAATTCTAGTTTAATTCTATTGTGATTGAAGCACATCCATTGTATGATTTTAATCCTTTTAAATTTATGAGATTTGTTTTATGTCTTACAATATGGTCTGTCCTGAAGGATGTTCTCTATGTGCTAGAAAAGAATGTGTATCCTGCTGTTGTTGGGTGGAGTATTCTGTAGATGGCAATTAGGTAAAGTTAGCTGATAGTGCCAATCAAGCCTTCTATATTCTTGCTGATTTTTTTTATCCAGTCGTTTTATCTATTATTAAGAATGTAGTGTTGAAGTCTCCTTCCATTATTCTTGAATTTTCTATTTCTTTCTTCAATTTTGTTTAATGTATTTTGGTGGTGTTAGGGACATATATATTTCTAATTGTTACATCTTCCTGATATTGAGACCCTTCTTCTCATTATAAAATGCCTTTTATCATTATAAAATGCCTCATATTATCTCTAGTAATGTTTTTACCTTAAAATCTATTTTTTCTGGTATTAGTATAGTTATTTCTGCTCTCTTATGGTTACTGTTTATATAGTCTACCTTTTAAAATTTATTTATTTACTTATTTTTCGAGACAGAGTCTTACTCTGTCACCCAGACTGGAGTACAGTAGCGCAATCTCAGCTCACTGCAAGTTCCGCCTCCCTGGTTCATGCCATTCTCCTGCCTCTGCCTTCCAAGTAGGTGGGACTACAGGTGCCTGCCACTACGCCTGGCTAATTTTTTGTGTTTTTAGTAGAGACGGGGTTTCACCATGTTAGCCAGGATGGTCTTGATCTCCTGACCTCGTAGTCCACCCACTTTGGCCTCCCAAAGTTCTGGGATTACAGGCATGAGCCACCATGCCGCAGCCCACAACGTCTACCTTTTAAAAAAATTTTTTCCTTCAATCTATCTGTGTTTCTGAATCTGAAATGTATCTCTTATTAGGATCTATTTTTTATTCAGTCTGATAATTTCTGCTTTTAATTGGAGTATTTAATCCATTTCCATTATTTGAGATTGTTGATATAATTGACTTTACATGTGCCATCTTGCTGTTTTCCATTTATCTCGTGGCATTTTTGTTCCTCTATCTCACTTTTCATGCCTTTTTGTGTAAAAGAAATATTGTCTAAGGTACTGTTTTCATTGTTCTTTTCTTTTCTTTTGTTTCACACAAGGCCTTGCTCTGTTGCCCAGGCTAGAGTGCAGTGGTACGACTACAGCCCACTGTAGCCTCAATCTCTTGGGCTCAAGCAATTCTCCCACCTCAGCCTCCTGAGTAGCTGGGACTACAGGTGCCCACCACCACACCCAGCTAATTTTTTAAATTTTTTGTAGACATGGGGTTTCACTGTGTTGCGTAGGATGGTCTTGAACACCTAGGCTCAAGCAGTCCTCCCACCTCAGCCTAGCAAAGTGCTGGGATTATAGGCATGAGCCACCACATCCACCTTGTTTTGTTAGTTTCTTAGTAGTTTCTTATTACAATACATCTTAACTCATCACAATCTATTTTCAAGTAATACTAACTTAATTCTAGGTTTTTTTGCTTTTTTGTTTGTTTGTTTGTTTGAGACAGAGTCACTGTGTCACTCAGGCTGGAGTGTAATGGTGCGATCTTGGCTAACTGCAACCTCTGCCTCCCAGGTTCAAGTGATTCTCCTGCCTCAACCTCCTGAGTAGCTGGGATTACAGGCACCCACCACCACACACGGGTACTTTTTGTATTTTTAGTAGAGACAGGGTTTCACCATGTTGGCCAGGCTGGTCTCGAATTCCTGACCTCAGGTGATCCACGTACCTTGGCCTCCCAAATTGTGAGGATTACAGCTGTGAACCACCATGCCTGGCTCTTAATTCTACTTTAATACAGAAACTTGCTTCAGTACAGTTTCATTCCCCAGTCCTTTGTGCCATTATTATTCTAAATATTATATCTTTATGTTTTATAAGCCCAACAATATGGTTGTGTATTTTTGTTTTATGCAACTGTCTTTTAAATCAGTTAAGAGAAGAAAAGAGGAATGAATATTTTTTACAGTTATTCATATAATTACCTTTATTTATGTCTTTTATTTCTTTGTGTGATTTTGAGTTACCATCTGGAATCATTTTATTCCAATCTGAATGACTTCCTTTCTTATTTCTTATAAGGCATATTTGCTCACAACAAAATCTCTTCTCTCTGTTTTTCTCAGAATGTTTAACTTTGCATGCAGTTTTCAAGGATAGTTTGCTGCATATGGAATTCTTGGTTATCAGTTTTGTTTTGTTTTCTTTCAGCAGTTTGAATATATCATCCTACCATCTTCTGGCCTCCATTTTTTTCTGATAAAAACTCAGCTGTTAATCTCATTATGTGCTCCTGTATGAGATTAGTCATTTCAGTTCAATACTTTTCTTTGACTCTTTTTTATAATATCCTTTTCTTTATGTATATTTCTATTTGATGAATCATTAACATTATACTTTACTTTAGCTCTTTATTATTTTTAGTTTTGTTTTTTGTTTTCTGTTTTTTTGAGATAGTGTCTCATTCTGTCACCTAGGCTGGAGTGCAATGGTGCAATCTTGGCTCACTGCAACCTCTGCCTCCCAGATTCAAGCAATTCTCCTGCCTCAGCTTCCCAAGCCAAGTAGCTGGAACTAATTTGCATATTTTTAGTAGAGACGGTGTTTCACTCTGTTGGCCAGGCTGGTCTTAAAATCCTGACCTCAAGTGATCCATCTGCCTCGGCCTCCCAAAGTGCTGGGATTTCAGGCATGAGCCACTGTGCCCAGACTCTCTTAAGTTCTTGAACATATTTATAGTAAGTCTTTGTCTGCCAAGTCTAATATTTAGGCCCCCTAAGAGGCCGTTTTTATGTTTTTTGCTGGTAGGGGCCAAACTTTTCCATTTTTTTCATGTATAATAGGTTTTTTGTTGAAAACTACACATTTTAGATAATATACTGCACCAACTCTGAATTCTGTATCTCCATACCATAGGTCCTGGGCTAACTCTATAGAGTCTGTCTCCCTTGAGTCATGTAGCTACTGATATCTCTTAAGTTGTCTTATTTCTTAATCATTTTTTAATTGTTAAGACAAGTCTCCTGGAGGTTGCACTTGAGTCAACATAGCTTAATGGTGAGCTGAGGATTGATCAGAGGTTTTGCTTAATTCCCTTGAGCCAGTAAGCCTTCCACCTTTTGCCCGTGGATCTCTGTGTTGGTTGGGAAACACGTTAAAAATTTAGGCCTGTTACAAGTCTAACTGGGATTTTACTTTCAGTCGTGCCTTCTTATGTTTCCTTTATAAGTGTCCTAGGTTTCATACTTATCTGGAAATGTATGGATAGCTAGATATCCTCCTACTATGCACACTACTATTCTGTAGTCCCTCCTAAGCATGTTTAGCCTTGTAGATTACAGGGGGTATGTGTGAGATTGTCAAGGTTCACTGTGGCTGCCTTATTCCCCAAATTTTCCTATTATATTTCTTGCAAGACTACGGGTTTATTTCTTGTACCTGCCAGTATCATAGTCTCAAGGCAGCTGAGATGCTGGCCTTTCCTGGGGTATGCACACCATTCCAAATCAAATTAGCCTCCTCCAGGTGTGGAGCTGCTGGTTTTGGGGAATTTTTCTCCCCTTTTAGAGCTACAAAGGTAATGGAAGCTGGAAGAGGAGGCTTTGCTCAAAATTACTTCAATTAGCTACTTTGTTATTACTGAATATGATTTTTTTCCTGACTTTTTGGCAGTGAACATCTTCATGAAGATTTCACTTCTTACCATGTATATTAGTTTTCTAGGCTTGCCATAACAAATTATCACAAGCTTCGTGGCTTAAAACAACAAAAATTGCTTCTCTGATAGTTTAGGAGGCCAGAAGTCTGAAATCAGAGCATCAGCAGGATTGGTTTCTTGTGGGGGTTTTGAGAGAGAATCTATTCCATGCCTCTTTCCTAGCTTCTGGTGGCTGCCAGCAATGCTTAGCCTAGCAACATCTCTCCAATCTTTGTCACATGGCATTCTTCTCTCCGTGTCTGTGTATCTGAACTTCCTTCTCCTTTCTCTTATAAAGACAGAAGTCATTGGACTTAGGACCCACTGTAATCTAGTATGACCTTATCATAACTAGTTACATTTCAAAGATCCTGTTTCCAAATGAGCTCACATTCTGAGATTCTGGTAGATATAAATTTTGGGGGACACTATTCAATCCAATATACCATTCATTATGAAGTAGCACCTGAAAATCTGTATGGTCTCTGGTGTTGATTAGGTTATCCTTTTGTGAAAATTAGTTTGAAAATGAACAGAACAGCAAGCTAACTTGACTTTTTTTTGTTTAGGTGGTTCTTTACGTTAAAATAATTCACACCCACTTTTTTATTTTTTTTATTTTTATTTTTTCATACTACTAAGAAAAAGGCAGAGAGATCTGTGGACAGGAAAGTGTTGGCAGAGCCTTACCCTTCTCAATTCTGACTTGCATGTCTGCTTTTAATCTAGAGCCAAATAACTATCGGACCATGCATGGCCGGGCAGTAAATGGCAGCCAGTTGGGAAAGGATTACATCCAGCTGAAGAGCCTGTTGCAGCCCATCCGGATTTATTCCAGAGCCAGCTTATATGGCCCTAATATTGGGCGGCCGAGGAAGAATGTCATCGCCCTCCTAGATGGGTAGGTCAGATTGTTTAGTTTTTCTTATGACATTGTTCATTTAATGAATTAATGTATTTGCATTTCTCCTGATTATTTATTTATTTATTTATTTTGGTCTTAAGAAAAAAAGGAGGGACTCTTTCTATAGTGGCTTCACCCACTCTAAGTCAGAGATTCTCCATCTTTCTCATCATTCTAGGCCTTCCGTAGTCAACAGGGGAACATGGGGTGGGGAAGGTATATCACAATCTCTAGGATGGGTTGGAAAGGAAACATTGTTTGAAAAAACACAATTAATATGATGCATTTTATAGCATCATTTTATATTTTTTAAGACAAAAAAATTACTCTATACCAGGGTCCTCTTGTAGAAAGTGAAGCTTTACAAAATCTTGGCCAGCAAACTGGGTTAAAAAGTTGAAAAACACTACAAATACTGAGATATTAAAGCTCTTGATAGGCCTATTAGCAGATATTCTTGAGAATTGCTACCACTTTTCTTATTTAGTTTTGACTAAATCTGACAATCTTTTTTTAAATCACCTAAGGCAAGGAAAGATACTGATCAGGATTTTCTTTTATGTGTCAGAAAAAAATAGAGATTTATCTCTGTTAATGTATATGTACTAAATATACAGTGAAATATAACTAGAAACACATAAACATCCCCAGCAACTTGAACTAACAATAACAAAAATGTCAGCACTCTAAATTACCAGCTCTGTATTCCTTTCTAATCCTCCTGGTTATACAGATATAATTTTACATAGTTGTGATCATTGTATATGCATCATTTTGAGTGCTGCATTTTTTACTCATTGCTTCACATGACCCTTTCCTTGTTTCTACATAGTTCTCATATTGTCATTCTTAATAGCAATAAAATATTCCATTGCATTAATGCACCTAAGTCTGCCTAAGCATTCCATCACCGTTGGGCATTGGACTGTTTCCAAATTTTGCTTGTAATATATAGCACAGCTATAAACATTTTTATACAAATCGGTTATTTATTTCTTTTGAATTACATCCTTGGGCTAAATTCCAAAAAGTAGTGTTTCTTGGTCAAAGTATGTGATAATTCTTATGGCTTTTATATTTGTTGCCAAGTTTTTTTCAGAACAATTTCATCAGGTTGCAGGACAGCAATGTATTAGTATATCTTTTTCTCCAATATCCTATAGCAATGAATGTTGTCAGTTTTATTATTTTACTCTATTTTAATTAATGCAGGATCATGTTGCATGGTTGTTTAAACTTGAATTCTGTTAATTATGAAAAGAACTCAGAATTTTCAAATCCTTATGTTGTCTTGTTTCCTCTTATCCCAAATTTGATTAGTAACCATTGTAGTAACCATTAGTAACTTAACCAAATTTGACAATAACCATTTTGTCTGAGACCCAGACATGGAAGCCGTTTTAGATCAGTTTTCTCCTTCGTTCACACATTCAATTAGTTATTAAGTACTGTAATTTTCTTAGTATCCTTCATATTCCATTTTCTTTTCATTTTTATTTTAAACCTTATTGTTTTTAATCCTAAATGATTTATTGGTATCTAGCTAGCCTCAAACTCTAATAATTTTTCCATATAGATTCCTGAGTAGTTTTTTTTGTTGTTGTTGTTGTTGTTGCTTTTTAAACACAGAGTCTCGCTCTGTCATCCAGGCTGGAGTGGAGTGGCGTGATCTCAGCTCACTGCAACCTCTGTCTCCTGGGCTAAAGCAATTCTCCTGCCTCAGCCTCCCGAGTAGCTGGTATTACAAGCATGTGCCACCACGCCCAGATAATTTTTGTATTTTTAGTAGAGATAGGGTTTCACCATGTTGATCAGGCTGGTGTTGAACTTCTGACCTCAGATAATCCACCCATCTCGGCCTCCCAAAGTGCTGGGATTACAGAGTATTTATTTATTTTTTTTAATGTAACATCTGGTCAAGTCACTTTTGCTTGAAATCCAAACCCTTTCAGATGCACTCGTGGCCTTTAGTATCTGCGCCTGCCTAAATTTGCAGCTAATAAGCAGTGATGCCCCCTTGCCCTCTAATTACATCTAACTACATCAAAGTACAGAAAATTTTTAATGTAAATTCTGGAAGATGCCATACTCTTTTATACCTTTACATCTTTTTATTTTGTGTCATTTTGTTAAGAATACCAGCCTCTCCTCTTGTTTTTCTCCTTTCTCTAGATCTTCTCTGACATGTTCAGGCAGAATTTCTTAGGGCCTCCTCTGTCCTTGCATGGCACTGTATTTTTCTGCTATCGCACTTATCAAATTGATGATAACATTTGTTTATATATCTGCCAGCCATGATAAACCACAGAGTAGGATCAGGAACCCATTTGTTTTATTCATATCCTCAAAATATTCCTAGGTTCTGTATCCTCAGAACCTAGGAATATAGTAAGTGCCTTATAAATGCTTGTTGAATGAGTAGTATCTGTCTTATTCAACAACTGATTTTAAGGTTATCCAAAAAAAAAAAAAACAGTATGCATAATTGTAATTATGAAGCATTGAAAAGCATAATATAAATAATCATTTAAATGGATTATGTTGATTTTATAAATCATGATAACTTCGGTTTTTTGAAACTATACCAATGTCTTAAGTTTTTAAAAAATTTTATTGATACATACAAATCGTACATATTTGTTGTACATATTTACGACAATTTTTAAATTATTTCTTTATGTTGGGAACATTCCAAATCTCTTCTAGCTACTTGGAATATACAATAAGCTACTGTTAACTATTGCCACACTACTGTGCTATTGAACACTAGAGCTTATTCCTTCTAACTGTGTTTTTGTACCCATTAACCAACCTCTCTTCATCCTCCCTCTCTCCTTCCCTTCCTAGCCTGTGGTTACCACCAATTCTCTACCTCCATGAGGTCCACTTTTTCATTTGCTCTTACATGTGTGTGAGAACATACAATACTTGTCTTTTTGTGCCTGGCTTATTTCACTTAATGTAATGTCTTCCAGTTCCATCCATGTTGCTGAAAATGACAGAATTTCACTCTTTTTATGGTTGAATAGTATTCCATGTGTATATATACTACATTTTCTTTATCCATTCATCCCTTGATGAATACAGGTTGATTCCATATCTTGATTATTGTGAATATTGCTGCAATAAACATTGAAGTGTGCATAATCTTTTTGATATACTGACTTCCTTTATTTTGGTTATATACCCATAGGTGGGATTGCTGGGTAAGCTTTTTTACTGAGGTAGTTGCAGAACTAAAAAGGACTGTCTTTCCAGTTAGGATATGAACTCTATGAAGACAGAGATAGAATCTTCATGTTCATATTTAATATCTTCAGGGATTAGCCTGTGGTCTGGAAAATGGGAATTACTTAACAAAATGCTTATTTTATTGTTTTCATTTCCTCATTTGGGAAATGGCTGTTCTTAATCATCAGTTTTTATCTAAAGACATGAGAATTACTATTTAGAGTTATATCAGTTTCTGGTTTTTCTTTTGTAAACTTTTATGCATCATCTATGTAATGACAATTTTATCTTAATCTAGTGCTTTTTGTGTGTCCTAAAAGATGTTTTTATTGTTTTAGAAGTTTCTTTTCATTATCATTTTTCTTGTCTCATATTGTTCAACAAGCTCTACCTACAAAATAGAAATCCTACTCAAAAGGAGATTTATCTAAAAAAATTATATACCCAATAACAGAGAAAAACCTATACCTCTACCTTGACAAATCTACTTAGTCCCTAATTTTTTAAAGTGAATACAGGCAAATCTCATATTTATTGTGCTTCACATATATTGGATTTTTTATAAATTGAAGGTTCATGGTACCTCACTTCATGTCTCTGTGTCACATTTTGGTAATTCTTGGAACATTTCAAGCTTTTTCATTATTATTATATCTATTATGGTGATCTGTAATCAGTGATCTTTGATGCTGCTATTGTAATTATTTTGGGGCACCATGAACTATAAGATGGCAAAATTAATCAATAAATGTGTGTTCTGTCTATTCCACCCACCAGCCATTCTCCCATCTCTCTCCCTGTTCTCAGGCTTTTCTATTCCCTGAGACGCAACAATATTAAAATTACACCAATAAGTAACACTACAATGTTCTCTGAGTGCTCAAGTGAAAGACTTGCATGTCTCTTACTTTAAGGCAGAAGCTCAACATGATTAAGCTTAATGAGGAAGGCATGTTGAAAGCCATGATAGGCTGAATGCTAGGCTTCTTGTCCCAAACAGTTAGCCAACTTGTGAATGTAAAGGGAAAGTTGTTGAAGGAAATTAAAAGTGCTACTTTGGTGAACACAAGAATGATAAGAAAGTGAAACAGCCTTATTGCTGCTATGGAGAAGGTTGTAGCAATCTAGATAGAAGATCAAACCAGCCACATTTCCCTAAGTGAAAGCCTAATCCAGGACAAGACCCTAACTCTCTTCAATTCTATAAAGGCTGAGAGAGGTGAGGAAGCTACAGAAGGAAAGTTGGAAGCTAGCAGAGGTTGGTTTAAGGAAATAAACTATCTCCATAACATGAAAAATGCAAGGGGAAGCAGCTCTCCAGAAGATACAACTAAGATAATTAATGAAAGTGACTACACTAAACAACAGATTTTCAGTATAGATGAGACATCCTTCTCTTGGAAATCTGAAACTCTGAAAATCTTAGGGTCGCTATGAATTAAGTTAAATCTACTCCACCTGTGCTCTATAAATGGAACAATACAACCTGGGTGACAGCATATCTGTTTATAGCATGGTTTACTAAATAGTTTATACCCACTACTGAGACCTACTGCTCAGGAAAAATAAAAATTGCTTTCAAAATATTACTGCTCATTGCCAATATGCCTGCTCACCCAAGAGCTCTGATGGAAATGTACAGATAAATTAATTTTTAAGCCTGCTAACTCACCCTCCATTCTGCAGCCTAGAGATCAAGAAGTACTGTTGACTTTCAAGTCTTATTATTTAAGAAATACATTTTTTGAGAAGTACATTTTATAAGG